AGACTGGAACAGCTACAGTGACAGAAGATACATCTTCATGATGAACCTGACCTATACTCAGAGCGGTAGTTACTCTAAATGCCAACAGAGAGGGAAAGAGTCTTCAAATCACCTTTCAATGCTATCCACTCTGTACACAGGGTAGATAGGAATGGGCAACTTAGACACTGGCTACCTAAAATGAGGGGGAAATAAAGTCATGAAGTGACTGGTTTACAAGGTTTCAAGAGGGAGCTTAGTTTAAGAGGTTTGGGAGAAAGAAAGAGTCCCCACTGAATATTTATCATCTTGTCTATATGGGTCTGGTGAAAGGAGATGGGGATAGGATTAATAAGATTCAATAGTGAATAACTGTTATCATGACTAATCGTGACTGTCACACTTGTAAAGGTAGAAGAAAAGGGGAGTGGTTAATCTTACAGTCCAGAAACAGAGAACTCTAGGACCATCAAGAGAGGAATGCACAAATAGAATGAGGGACCTTATCCAGAGAAGCAGCAGCCCCAGAGATGGAGGCAGAGATGGGGGCATGGAGAGGGGTTGCGGCTGAGGTCTCTAGATTCATCAACTAAGAAGAGAAGGACTAAGAACTGGTGGCCAGGAGCAGACTTGCAGAATGTGCCCTGTGGAGATGTAAATTATTATATATGCCTGAGTGGGTCTTTTTGTTTGTGTGTTTTTTAAAAAGCTAAAGTGGATAGAGAGAAATATTTTTAACTCATGGTATATGGAGGGGATTATAATCAATGATATGAAACAAGTTATATGAATGGTTGAATGTGAAACTGATGATATGTCCTGTAAACTTTCACTCAATCCACAATAAAAACCTTAAATTAAAAAACAACAAAAACAAAACAAAACAAAAAATACTCTAAATCGAAAAACAAAAACAAAAACTGGGTTTTAGTCCACTTTCCTGGCAGGAAATTCTGGACGTATCATTGATCACTGCCTAGTTGTGATGTCATACCCCAAGAGCCTCAGAGACTGTGAACTTCCCTATCTGCAATAGCCCCTCCTTACTTTTGGCAAACCTTGTGTGAGTATGTGACACATGGCTACTGTCATTAGCATGGTTAGAAGATGCTTCCTTTGTTCTCTGTGCCCTATAAAAAGTCAACATATGGAGATAAAACTTTAGAAACTCATCATGTTGCCTACAATTTCCCTCATCCAAGTGATCTATGCTTATTTGTCTTGTATTTATTTTTGTTTAAGGCTTAATAGTCTGTGTAATATTTATAGCATGGAAAATGGAGTTTCTTTTCTCTCCGATATTAATGGTAACAGTAGAAAAGTAAGTAGAGATTAGATTCTGAGCATATTCTGAAAGATGTGTCAATAGATTAGCTGGCAAGACTGTGCACAAATTATGACAGAAAGAGTTGTAAAGGAAAAATGCATTCTCTTGGCTTGAGTAGTTATACTGAATCATTTTTATTTCCTGAGTGGAACAGATTTGAAAACCAAGATGAGGAGTTCAATTTCTATAAGTGTCAAATTTGAAATATCCACTAAATATCAAGGTTTAGAACCCAAGTAGGCACCTGAAGTGAGGGGAATATTGTTCAGCTGTAAAAATTACCAATCGACAACATGGCAATGGTTCTTAAAGACAAGACATTTCTTAAAATTTTCAAGGAAGCAAGTGTCTATACAAAGTAGAATAAGTTCATTGAGTAAGTCCCAGGGCCTCAAATATTTAAGTCTGGAGTATAAAGAGAAATATGTGAAGACAAATGAGGTAGGACAACTTCCAGATCAGGAAACCAACTAAAGAGGGCGTGTCAAAATAAGAGGCGTGTGGTGCCTTGAATTTGATTGATAGGACTTTTCTATCCAAAATATTCTTACTTCCCACCAAGTGATTGGGAGGGACAATAGAAATAAGGTATATAGGACTCTAAAATTGGGATTGGTTAGTTTTGCCCTCCAGCTAAGTTTAAAAGGAGCCATCTCAGAAGCAGAAATAGAAGATCCCAGGATGATCAAGAGGAAAGAGCATGAGTGGAGCATGAAACGGCAAGAAGCGATAGCAAGAGGCTATGGCAAAGACGTTGGCATGGAGAGAGAGAGCAATTTCTGGCTCTAGGCCTATGGACTAAATAAAGCTGAGTGTCTACAGGCAGGAGAATGGTTTAAAGAAAATGCCCTTTGAGCATTCACAGATAGACTGAAAGAATTTTGTAACGCTTGCCAAAGCAGAGCAGAGGTCAAGGGACCACATAGCTGAAAGGCTAAAGACAAAAGTGAGGCATGCCTTCAGTATGGAAGAAAAGAGACATTCCTGACTGGAAAATTGCTGTTTCCTGTGTTGGTTTTGATCCTGAATTGTATACATTCACTTCCCCCAATAAACCTCATAATAGTGAGTATTATTATGAGTTCTGTGTGGCCATTGTGATGGATTATTGAACCCAGATGTGTACCCAATAGTACCTTGGGGTGGATGATTGGTGTCAGAATAGAATAATGAAGGGTGTAGAGTGGAAGCATGCCTGATCTCTACTTCATAGGAATCAACCTTGAGCTGATTTTGATTTTGGTTTTCTTTCCTCCTTATGAAGCCAGGCTAAGTCAGACATGGTTTACACATGGTTTTTCCAAGGGAACATACACCAACTCAAAATGACCCTTGTTGTTATTGTCCCTAAGTATCACTAAGACAGTTCCAACTCATATTGACCCTATGCACATCAAAGCAAAACACTAGCTTGCCCTGAGCCATCCTCACATTTGTTATTAAGTGTAAGCCCATTTTTGCTACCACTGTGTCAATTAATTTTCTTGCAGGTCATCCATTTTTTCACTGACCCTCCACTTTAGCAAGCATGATGTCCTTCTTCAGGTATAGGTCCCTTCTACACTATGTCCAAGGTACTAGAGAAAAGTTTTGCCAGCTTTGCTTCTAAGGAGAATTCTGCCTGTACCTCTTCTAAGACATATTTGTTTGTTGTTCTCGCAGTTCATGGTACTTTCAATATTCATTGCCAACACCACAATACAAGTGCATCAAGGTCTTCATTATTCACTGTACACTTTTCACATGCATATAAGATGATTGAAAATAGCGTTGCTCAGGCCAGACATAACATAGTCTTCAAACTGGCATCTTTGCTCTTTTAACGCTTTAAAGCAGTCTTTTGAAGATTTGCTTAATACAATATGTTATTTGATTTCTTAACTGTTACTTCAATGAACATTATGGATCCAGGCAAAATTAAGAATTTGACAACTTCAATCTTTTCTCCATTTATCATGATGTTAAGGAGCTCTGGTAGCGAAGTGGTTACGAATCGGTCTGCAAACTACCAGCCGCTCAGTGGGAGAAAGATAAGATTTCTGCTCCCGTAAAGATTTACAGCCTCGGAAACCCTGTACAGGGTCGCTATGGGTCGGATCCAACTCGACGGCACTTAACAACAACAACAACATCATGATGTTATTTATTGGTCCAGTTGTGTCACCTCCATATCACAGTTTGTTAATTAATGTGTCTTTCTCCAATCCGAAAGCCATGATTTTCTTCATATAATCCAGTTTCTCAGATCATTTGTTTGATATGAAGATTGAATAAATATGGTGAAAGGATATAACCACGCATCTTTCCTGATTTTAAGCTATTCAGGATCCTCTGGATCTGTTTAAACAACTGCCTCGTTGTCTATGCACATGAGCACAATTAAGTGTCCTGGAATTGTAAAAGTATCTTCACAATTTTATCCATAGTTTTTATGATACATACAGTCAAATATTTGCATTGTCAATAAAACACAAATAAACATCTTTCTGTCATTCTCTGCTTTCAGTCAAGATCTATCTGATGTCAGCAATGATGTTCCTTGTTTCATGTTCTCTTCTAAATCTGTCTTGAATTTCTGGCAGTATTCTGCTGTACTGCTACAACCATTTTAAAATTATCTTCAGCAGAATTTTGCTTGCATGTGATATTAATGATTTTGTTTTATGATTTCCTCATTCCATTGGGGCACCATTCTTTGGAATGGTCACAAATAGGAATCTAATCCAATCTATTTTCTAGGTAGCTCGTTTCCAGATTTCTTGGCATAGATAAATTAGAACTTCCCATGCTGCATCAATTTGTTGAAACATTTCAGTTAGTATTTGATCAATTCCTGGAGCCTTATTTTTCTCCAGCTCCTTCAATGCAACATGAACGTCTTCTTTCAATATATATATATATATATATATATATATATATATATTTTTTTTTTTTTTACCATATGCTACCTCTTGACATAGACTTAAATTCTATCTCAACAACACATTTGATGCATTAGAAACTAATGACTAAAAACCAGAGGAACTGTGGGTTGACATCAAGAACATAATACATGAAAAATCAAAATGTCATTAAAGAGACAGGAAATAAAAAAAGAGACAAAAATGGATGTCAGAAGAGATTCTGAAACTTGTTCTTGAGCATAAATAAGCTAAAGGGAATGAGGAATTAAACAGCTGAACAGAAAGTTTACAAGGACAGCTGGAGAAGACAAAATAAACTATAATAATGAAATATGCCAAGACCTTGATTTAGAAAACCAAAAGGAAAGGACCCACCTTAGCATTTATCAAACTAAAAGAACAGAAGACAAAAATTCAGGCCTTGTGTTGTAATATTAAAGTATTGACAAAATATTGAATGACTGAGGAATCATCAAAGTGATGGAAAGAATACACAGTCCCTGTACCAAAAAGTCATGGTTGAATCTGGTATTTGCTTGTCCAGATACTGCTGCAATCATTTTTAAATTGTCTTCAACAGAATTGTGTGTAATATTAACTACTGTGTTAGGTAATATTCTTATTCTGTTCTATCACTTTCCACAAAAATGAATCTCTTCCAGTAGGTTGACCAGATAGCTGTCTTACACACACACACACACACACACACACACACACACACTTTTTTGACATTGAGGAATAAATTCCACCAGTGCTGCACATTTACTCATTGAAACATTTTCATTTGTATTCCATCAATTCTTGGAGCCTTAATTTTCACCAATGCCTTCTATGCAGCTTGGGATTGTTTCTTCAGTACAATCAGTTCTTAATCATATACTACTCACTGAAATGGTTGAACATCCACCAATTCTATTTTTTAAATATTTTTATTATGAATTGACTGATAGTTTACATGGGATAACATCAGCTTTACATTCATCCCATTGTATTTCATTTCATTGCTGTGATTACTAGCCCCTCTGTGCTGCATCATTCAACAATTCAACAGCATTTGCTTTCATCCCCTCTGTTTTTGTTTTTGTTTTTTAGATGTATACCAAAGCACTCATGAATATATAACCATTCAAACAACCAAAGGATATACCCCCACAAGACTGCCTTCTGGCTGTCAGCACACAGCCCCTCTCCTTCCCTAAGTCCAGAGTTCTCAGCCACTCCATCTCTCCATGTCATTGTCTCTGCCTCCATCTCTGGCATCACTGCTTCTCTGAATAGGGTCCTACACTCGGTTCTTCTCCTTTGATGATCCCAGGATCCCCAGCTTCTGGACAGCAAGATCAACCACTCCCCTCCTTTTGTAACAAAACATCTACTTTTACATTGCAACACTCACAGTCAGTCCTGATAGCATTAGTCACTATTGAACCACAAGAGTCTTATCCCCATCTCCTTTCACCAGTCCCATTCAGACAGATTGGAACCACTCAGTGAAAATACTAACTTCCTCCACACCCTCTGAAACTAGGATCCCTCTTGAAGGCTTGTAAGCCAGTCACTTCATGCCTTTGTAGTCCTCCTCCCCACCCCCGCTACCATTTTGGATAGCCAATGTCTGAGTTGCCCATCCTTGTCAACCCTGTGTACTGTGGGAGTGGGAATGATCCTCACTGTAAAGATTCATTTCCTTTTATGAGCTACTACATCTATAAGTATAGGTCAAGTTCATTAAATTGTAACAGCTTATTCTTTTTTTCCTCTTCTTTCTTCTTTTAGTAGAGTTCTGATCATCGAGCCATTGAAGCCAGGTCAAGTGAGTACGTCTGCAAGTATGGGTGTTCTTGTGCACCTCCCCTCACTTCATATCAGCTGAATGCTTCACTCTTTGCTCTAGTCCTCTTTGGTCATGTCTCTGTCTCTGTCTCTGGTCCCAGGAGTCCACAAGTCTCACTATACTGCTGGCCAATCAGGTCTCAACCCAGGTTAACAGGAGTCTATTGAATGTGGTCAGACTTAGCTCACAACTTCATTGTTATTTTTTCCCCATTCCCCTTATCAGGAGACCAATGTGGTGACC